TTTTTTTTTTTGTCATTTATGCTCACAAACTTGTCTAATTGACTACTTAACTTCTTCTTTTTTATACTCAGAAATTTTTTGCTTGAAAATTAATTTTATTTTCTAATGCTCCGATTTCTTGGAGCTGAAAACATTGCATGTCTAACGGCAGTGCCTATTCTTTGAAGGGAGATACGAGACTTATGTCATTGGTTGACTTATTTTATTCATTTGACTATGCAGAGGATGCTCAGCTGACTCCCGTGCTACGTTTGGCGGCAGGAGCTTGTGCTGGAATTATTGCTATGTCTGCTACATACCCGATGGACATGGTTCGTGGAAGACTTACTGTACAGGTATGTAGGCCGTATTGAATGTGAACCATTGCAAGAAGTTAGTTAGGCATTATGATGTAGTGCTTTAGCATAAAACTTGTTTGGTCTGTCTATTCTTTGCAGACAGATAAGTCTCCTTATCAGTACAGGGGAATGTTTCATGCTTTATCAACTGTGCTACGCGAGGAAGGCTTCCGTGCACTGTACAAGGGTTGGCTTCCTTCTGTCATTGGAGTGGTAAGTTTTATAATACTTCATATGTTCAGGTCTGATGGGTGGATAATATGATTTTTGGTTGTTCAGATGCAACATGCATTTAATCCTCCCTATTGGTTGTAAAAAGGAAGGAATTAGTGTGTTGAATTTATCAAAGTAGGATTAGTAATTACTATATTTTTCTTCATTATGAATACATCTGAAGTGCTTAGTTATGAAACATGTGTTTAATCCTCCCTACGTACTATAATATAAAATAAAGCAAATTACTTTTACTGAAACGACATTGCTTCTTGTGGTCAAAAGTAGGTTTTGTACAGTAAATTTGCTTGAAATTGTTGCTTGTGAAACACTGGTTTTCTTTTGTTTTCAAGTGAGTTTCTTTTAGTTTTCCTCTATCAAAGCTGTGAATGATAGAATTGATTATATGAGAACAAATGTGGTTTTAACCATGTTTCAAGTTTCAACTGAAGCAAATATTTGCAATCAACATTGGCTTAATCAAGCTGAACGTTGGTGCTCATAAAGATTGATAATCCCAGTTAATTACTTAACTTTTACCTTAACATGATCTAATTTCCAAGGATTATCATCACGAATATAAAATTGGGAACTATATACATGCTTGCAATTTCTAGTCATCTGTATATTAATTCTGTAATCTTCTCCTTTTCTGCTCAGGTCCCATATGTGGGTCTCAACTTTGCTGTTTATGAATCACTTAAAGATTACTTGATCAAATCCAAACCCTTCGGGCTCGTGGAAGATAACGAACTTGGTGTCGTGACAAGGCTTGCATGTGGGGCTGCAGCTGGCACGGTTGGGCAAACTGTTGCATACCCGCTTGACGTCATTCGCAGAAGGATGCAGATGGTCGGGTGGAATAATGCTTCTTCAATTGTCACTGGTGGGACCAAGACTGCCCTCGAGTATAATGGCATGATTGATGCTTTCAGGAAAACCGTGAGGCACGAGGGAGTTAGGGCCTTGTACAAGGGTCTAGTCCCCAATTCAGTGAAGGTCAGTGTTTTTTTATTTCATTCACCAAATAGTATTTGTTCAAAACTATACTTGGGTTGTATCTTGCTCATTTGTCTGCATTCGAGACTGCAATATATAATGGATAATCACATAAACTACTTTGTTCTCCGAAACCAAAAAAAAAAAAAAAAAAGAAGCTAGGTATAAAATTCATACACACTCCTTTTAACTTTATATTATCTTATTAACTAATATGGCACCTATGATCCTTCCAACTGCAAAATAGAAAAAAAAAAGGAAAAAAATTGGAAGTGTCATTTCAAGGCCTAATCTTTCAAAGGGGACATTGATGTCTTTGTTATTTTCTTTTTCGTTCCACTTCACTAGACAAAACCGTCGGGGATGGTTTTGGGAATTCATCCTAGAAATTATATTGCATGAGGTTGCTGCTACATTATGTTTTTGCAGCACTCGAAAGTTGGTAATTTCCCCTTCTGATTAGAAATACTCAGGATTTTGGGGTGATGAATGTCAGCATAGTACCAAAAACACTAATTCCATTTTACATTGTACTAACGAGAGTTGCTCTCTTCAGGTTGTGCCATCAATAGCAATTGCTTTTGTGACGTACGAACAAGTGAAGGAGTTGCTCGGGGTTGAGATTAGGATATCCGACTGATGCAATGTGCAAACAAAGAGAGCCTTTCCGTTCGCTGGTTCTGCATAAAAATTTTTTGGGGGTCGAAAGGAGAAGCCGAAATTTAGTCAAGGCCCTCCTCTAGAGATAGAGAGAGGAGAGAGAAAGGGACACTGGGAAACATTTTAACATGTGTTCATATATGTTGATTACCCGTTTCTTTTGGTTTTTTTGGGGTCTTTTTTCTGGGCAACCAATAAGGTATTAGCAAAAAAACGAATGCAATAATGATGGGCTTTGCGTTTTTCTTTCGGTTCGCTTTGCTATTTAACTCGGTTTCTGAATGGCTTTGTGATGTTCAGAGGTATGAAACCCCTGCCCATTTTGGATGGATTTCTATCAGTTTTATTTTGCTTTGTTTATTTCAGGCTACATTTTGTTGTAGCCACCATGTTAACACCACCATGTTACACATCTGTCTTTACCTGTTATTTAATTTGCAACTATCCAAATTTCACACTGAGTCTGTATATATAAGGCAGTCATACATTTGCAAAAAGAAGATACACAGATTCATCACTCCAGAAAAAAACACATCAAATCAACCCCTCTTTACATACTCACAACTCCCAACATAATTTCCCATGCAATGTGCAAAACAATTTCAACAAACTATGAAGCAAATTCAAGAATCACAAGGAAGAAAAAAAGCTAGTGTCCAAGAAGATATGAAGATGTGGGATTGTGGCAGCCCATTATATGATTCATATGAATTAGTTGCTGTTAGCAACATCATTGAGAGACATTTCATAATATTGCCAAACTACCTCCGTGAATCGAGAAAGGTGGCAGCTTTTGTCCCGGCGGCGCTGACCTCATCGGCGGTAACGAATCCGGTGGCCAACCTACTGGCAGTTGTATCCGGCGGCAAAGAAGTGAAAGAGAGAGGGAGGCAGAAAAAAATTGGGATTGCCAAGTTTTTCAGCTATGTGAAAAGCCCATGGAAGAAATAAAAATTTGTGGAATTTTACTTTTTAATTTTTAAATTTTTTACTTTTTATGTAGATTCTGTTTTAAATGTTCTAGCTTTTGCTCAATGATTATTTTGTTAAAGTATTCATTGATCAATCGCAAGGATTGAATCTCGTGAATTTTATCCTTGTCATGGATTTTGAGGAAAAAAAAAAAAAGATAATGTTTCGTATATTTGTCAATACGCTATAAACCAAACAAGCCGCATCGAGCGCTTGTAAGCTCGGGTAGACTGACTCGAAGTCAACTCGTTAAAGTCCGAGCTACTTTAGTTATAGGCGAGCTCGGCTCGTTAAGGCTCGAGAATAAGGTTTATATCATAATTTTGTAATATTTTTTATCTTAGTTCGGCTTCAGACTGAGTTTGTAATTTGATAGATGAATCAAATTAGATCCCACTCATTTAAACATCTTTGTCATTGGTATCTTCATTTTCATTTAAGAAAACATCACACTTTAGTGTCAGTAAGCTCATGTTATCTATAATTATATCGATTTATTATCATGTTTTTCTAATATAATCCAAGTTTAGTTTATGTTTAATTATTGTATAACTCACATGGGTGAATTGCAATTTCATATAAATTTTATGGATCATTATGACCCATAAAAAAATATGTGGACTCATTTGTATGATGGATCGTCATGAGCATATATGCTCAAGTCATATGACCTACTCACATAAACATTATACATATGGATAATATACCACAATAAGGCTATTTATTATTACTAAATAATTTGCTCTCATACTTAATTATACATTAGTGATTAGTGTATGACACATAAATCAAGTAATTAATTTAATTTATAATAATACTCATACACATAACATTTTACTTGTTGAAGCATATTATAAAAAATGCTAGCATAAAAGAGTTATAAACGAGCTGAGTCGAGCTTCATTCTTTATCCTACTGAGTTCGTCAATTAATTGAGCTGATAAACAAGCTCGAGCTCATGTCGTTTATCAAAACTATAGAGTTGGATCTGCTCGTTAACTAAATGAGTTTTTTAAAGAGCTCAAACAATAGAAGAATCTAGACAAATTTAAGCCTCAACAAGACGAGCCACTAAAGGGGTGATTGTTTATGGATTGAATTAGTTCTTATTTGGTTTATTTTTAACTATAGTTAATTTTGAAAAAAAGGTGGTATGGTTAGTCGTTATTGGATGTATTAAAATAATATTTAAATAAAATAATTAAAGTTGATTTGATGTAAAGTAGAAAAAAAAAATGATTGGAAGTGATAGTTAGTTAAAATTATGTGAGTGGATGAATAGTGAATTAAAGTTGATGTGATTTGTAAGAATGATTGGTTTATTACTCCCTCCATTTTGAAATATAAGGCATATAAGGAATTCTCAAATTTTTTGAAATATAAGACGCACATCAAAACCAAGACAAATTATTTCATTTTCTGCCAAATATACCCTCATTTACAGCTGCAACCATAACAATAAATACATAGTGATTTTCAATAAATAAGGCTAGTTTAGCCAATTTACTAATTAAATAATGTCTCCTTAATATTTGTGCAAATACCTTAAACGCCTTATATTTCAAAATGGAGGAGTATTTAATTATATTGATAATATTAATGATAGTGAGATTGAGTTATAGTTGAGCAAAAATTGAGTTAAAATTGAGTTTGAATTGAGGTTTTTACTATGAAACTTATATACAATCACACCCTAAGTCTTCGAGAAGTTTACCAACTTGGGTAAAAACGAAAAAAAAAAAAATGCAACGTGATATAGCCTGGCAACCATGTTTACTGAGATAATTAATGACCTAGCTGTTGGAATTATGGAGCTTAATGTGATTGATCGTGCATGGTTTATGTTCATGCAGAGTGTTTTAGCATTTTATCTGTTATTACTCCTTTTATCTGAAGTCGCGCTACACTTACTAAGTCTCACTTCTTTTCCGCTGTTACTTTCTTCTTTTCACGTGTTTTAGTTATTGGCACACGTGTTATCTTTCTATTAGCTTCTCTGTTCCCCACGTGATATAAGTGTGTTAGCTGGGGGTTTTCCACTGTAATTTTGTATTGAACATTTACAGAGCTCCAAGCTCAACTTTAATGGTGATCTAGGTTTTGTATATTTTGTTGGTGATTTCAACGATTATTTGACATATTAACTCAAGTTTACATGGTATCTAGAGCGGGTCTCTAATCTCCGATGGCGCAGAACATTGATGAGCAAGGTCGATTGATCGTTAGGCGGTACACCTACACTCGAGATATAGATCCACTCTCTCTTCATGGATCCGATCATCATGGTTTGGTTCTGGTAACTAATTTGCTTACTGGTGGAAATTATCTACATTGGAGTCATGCGATGAAGCTTGCCCTAGGAGCTAAGTCGAAGCTTGGCTTCATCGATGGAACGGTGGAAATTCCAGAACAGGGTACAGAGGAGTTCGAACAATATAAGGAGGTACAATCTATGGTCATTTCCTGGATGCTTAACTCAATTTCTAAAGATATGGTTGAAACTTTCATCTATATAAAAAAATGCTAAGCAATATATGGGATGAGTTGGCCGAGAGGTATGGTGAAAGAAATGGTCCCCTTAAATATCAGTTGCAGAAGGAAATTGCTACCTTTTCACAAGGAACTTTAACTGTCACTGCATATTACACAAAGTTAAAGTGCTTATGGGATGAGTACTCATGCATTGTGTCACTTCCTGAATGTGAATATGGTTCAAAGAAGGCATACAGTGATAATGAAATGGAGACTAAGCTCATGCAGTTTCTCATGGGTCTAAATGAGGTGTTTGAACCAGTGAAGAATCAGATCTTACTAATGGAACCACTGCCTACTATCAATAGAGCTTACTCCATGATATTAAAGGTAGAAAAGCAGAAATGTTTGGGCACTGTTGGTTTGAATCATTTGGAAAGCTCAGCAATGTTTGTGAAGGGAAATGTTGGCAGAGGTAATGGAAGAGGACAGGTTTTTAATAGAGATGGTAGAGGTTTTCGAACACAATTTTATAATAATGCAGGTAGAGGAAGGGGCACTCAAAGGCTAAGTAAAGAAGAAAGAGTAAAGCTCTACTGCACACATTGTGGGTTTAATGTTCATGAAGCCCAAGGTTGCTTTAAATTACACGGTTATCCTGATTGGTATATAGAATTAAAGGAGCAAAGGCATTCACAAAATGTTAATATGGCAGAAAGTGAAGGATCCTCAAACGCTGACTCAGAAACCAAGTCACGGCACAGTGATTCACTAGGTGACATAAGCTCCTTGATTCAAAAGGAAGTTACCAAATACATGTCTAGCCAACAGACCACAGAAACTCATTCTTTCTCACACTTTGTTGACTATACAGAAGATAAGGAAGACTATGTCTTTTCTCTAATCAGCAAACTCAGTAGGGGCTCATGGACAATTGATACAGGAGCAAGTAAGCATATATGTTCTGATATTGACCTGGTTTGCAAGAAATCAGTTACTACAGTGCCCATTGTTGTGAACCTTCCAGATGGTTCAAAGGTGAAAGTAACTCAGATTGGTGAGGTGAGGTTTAATGATGAAATCATACTCAAAGATGTTTTGGTGATTCCTGAGTTCAAATATAACCTGCTGTCTGTTGGACAATTGGTGGAAAAGGATAAACTTCAGTTCATTTTTACAAAAGGTGAGTGCAGATTGTTGAAGGGAGATGGAGATTCAGTCATGGCTGTGGGAAAAGCAATTGAGGGGCTGTATATAATAGAGGGGCATAGTACCTATGTTAATGCTGTTAATGGGAGTTTGATCAATCAGAAAGAATTGGCTCTATGGCATAAAAGAATGGGACACAGCTCAATAAATTGCTTGAGACACTTGAGTTTCATAAACAATGACAGCTGCAAATTAGACCTGGACATTTGTGATGTATGCCACATGTCAAAACAGTGCAGGCTTCCCTTTCCTCTTAGTCACATACAAAGCAAAGAAAAGCTGGAACTTATCCATATGGATGTATGGGGGCCACATCATGAAGAGTCCATGACAAATACCTTCTACATGCTCACCATAGTTGATGATTATACCAGAGCCACCTGGATTTACCTGATGAGATACAAGGCAGAAACAGTCATTAATGTTAGGGATTTTCTGAGAATGGTGGAAGTTCAGTTTGGAGTTAAAGTTAAGCAAATAAGAACAGATAATGGGGGAGAGTTTGTTAACAAAGAAATGGAAATGTTGTTGAAGGATAATGGAATAATACACCAAAGGACCTGTCCTTATACTCCACAACAAAATGGTGTTCTGGAGAGAAAACACAGGTCCATTCTTGAGGTGGCAAGATCATTGGCTTTCCAGTGCAAACTGCAAAGAAATCTTTGGCCTTATAGTTTGTTAGCAGCAGTACAAATCATCAACACATTACCAAGTGAGAAGCTGAAGTGGAAATCTCCTTATGAGCTCTTGCATGGCAGTGAACCAGGATATGGAATGTTTAAGGTGTTTGGTTGCTTGTGTTATGCAAGTAAGCTTGGTCCCAACATGAAGAAATTTGATGAGAGGGCCATGCCTTGTGTGTTTCTGGGATACATCTCAGGGACAAAGGGATACAGATTGTATAGTTTGGAATCTAAGGAAGTGTTTGTTTCCAGAGATGTTATATTCTATGAAGAAAGGTTTCCTTTTATATATAAAGAATCTTTGACCCCAGAACAAGAACCACTGGAGCCAGTTATTGATGATTTCACTACATGTGAGCTTGAACCACCTGTGTTGAACAATGAAAGGCATGACCTACCTGCTGAAGAAAATGTTGCAGTAAGAAGAAGTTGTAGGGTTAGGCATCCACCTGCTTGGTTATCTGACTATGAAATGAATTTACAAAGTGATGAGGAAATAAATCTATTTTTTTCTGAAATAGATAAGACAGCCTCAGAGCCAACTTATTATGTGCAGGCCATTGGTGACAATAGATGGATTGATGCAATACATAAGGAATTGCAGGCTTTGGA